AGCGGGACCGGACCCGCCCGCGGCCGCGCTCCCTCGGCTCTTGCTCTCCTGATTTATTTTGCCCGAAATCCTCAGTCTGTGACATGGGGCTCCACCGGGACCCACGCAAAATACCGAGATTGCTCCATATTCGCCGGACGTGCGGGGAAGGGCGGCGGTGGTGGCGTTTCACCCCCGCACGGGGCCCAGTAGCTTGGCCTTGGCCTGCAGCGGGGCTTGGCTGGGGCCGGCAGCCTCCCCTCGTCCCCCGGAGCTACTGCCGAGACGTGCTGCCTAGGATTGTTTCTGTGTGTTATGGAAATATTTGAAAGTCTAACATTGTCTCTTTCCCCCATTCTGAGCCGTATTCTTCCTCACTTAATTTCTTTAATGATTTCTGGGCAGCTACTAGTCTCAAAATACTTCATTCTTTCTACAAAGTCCAATTAGAATGTGCAATGAGCGTCTGATAACAGTTTTGATAAAAAATTGCACTAAAATTACGGAACCGGTCCTTCACTTTCAAAATCAACATATTCTAGTACAGAATTCATGTTAACAGCTGTTTACTGAACTTCAGTCGCAGGGCGGCTGCCTTCGGCTCGTTCGTGGTGGCCTGCGCCACGAAGCCGTGCAGCAGCGCTTCGCATCGATCTCCGTACAGTTGTAGGTCTCCAGAGGGAAAAGGGAGACAAAATTCACTCTGCCTGTGGGCCTTGTCGTTTGCTGTTCTTCTAGATAAAAACAAATATGGATTACCTTGAACTTGCTGCGCTGGAACATTGTGTTAAACACATTAGTACTTTGGCAAGTAGTGTAATTGGCCAGATCTTCCTCTGATGTAAGTCTGTATAATTGCACTGAAGTCTGTAACCCTCGCTTGGCTTAATGAGAAGTGGCTCCCTTGTGGGAAAATTATGTCCTGGTGATATTGTCTCTCTAAAAAAAACAACTCAAACCACAAAACATCCTTAAATATTCTTCGGAAACATGAATTAGATGACCTCCTGAGGTCCCTTCTGACCTGAATTATTCTGTGTTTCTATGTTGCTGCTGTTTGTTCATACAGTATTTTGCAGGATGGAGTCCCGGTTCGTAACTGAAGCCATGCTGTGCAGGGCGGCGACACAGCCTGCTGAGCTGGGGGAGGTGGACGTGGAGTGATACACAGCCACAAGATCCAGTGGTGTGTTACAGCGTAGGGCGTGTTAGTGTCAGCCTGGGTTATTGAATCAGCTTCGGCCCTTTTTTCCTCTGTCTGGCAACCTCAGACCTGCCTGGGCACTTCTGTCACGCTACAGATTACATGAAAATAGGCACTGGTAAACTGTGAAGGCTGTTTTTCATCATATTTAGTGCCTTTTTTTTACACATATCACAGAGATTTTAATGCAACCTCTCATTTATATTCTTTAATATTTTTTATCTCAAATTGCGTAACAATTTTAACTATTAATACCATTTCTTCTCCACAGGCAGAGAAGCTGAGGCACTAATACCTTAAGACCTACATTTTCACGCTTGCTTGACTTGCAAAATAGCATCCCACCTCTTCAAGACTTCTCCTAACAGTGTGAAATCTAATGAAACAGTGCGTTTTGGTACTGGAATGATGACTACTCCAGAAGGTGATTACTAATTGTTTTCGGTTCCTCTTATGCTTGACTATCTGAAGTTAGCCCCCTCAGGCTTTCAAGTTTTCTGCTTACAAGTTTTGGCAAGATAGCAAGATGTTGCAGGGGGGTTTGGATGTGTAGCTCCCATTGTTTCCGGTCATGTTGTTAATCGGTGGAAAGGCCTGAAGGAGAGCACAGGTTATTTGATCCCATGGCCTGGTCATGGGTTTTTGTTTTTTGACCCCACTGCTTCTATGTTTAGAGTTTGATTCTGTGCCACTGAAGTCAATGAAAATGTTATTGACTTCGGTGGGAGCAAAATATCAGGCTGCTAACAGTGAGCTGTGACAGAGCAGTGCCATAGTTCTAGCAAGAGAGCAATGCAAACTTACTAATGTGATGTGTAAAGAACTTTTTTTCTGCAGCAGCTTTAATTTTGACATCACCTTGTCCTGAAGCTGATCGGTGTAGCTCAGTCAAGAGCAATTACATGGTATGCTCACTTGGTGAAGGCTCTGGTGCCCTCCAGTATGGTGTGCAGCGCTGTGCCAAGTCCTTAGGCGGTGGCGGCAGTAGCGTGGCCATGTGGAGCGCCTGGGAAGTGATGGCCAAGAGCTTGTTTGCTCACGTGTGAAGCCTTCCTGGTGTCATACTTGAAAATGTGATTAATGAAAGAATTTGTGATGCCTACAGTTTCAGAAGAAAGCCAGTGTTGGAGTGGACCTGCTCCAGCATTTGCATACATAGATGGAGTAGCTCTGCTTCTTGCTCTTGCTGTGCTTCTTGTCGTCTTTCTTCTGGGTCTTACTCTCTTGGGCGCTTTTCTGGGGCTGGAGCGGGTATGGCTGTCTCAGGCTTTTGCATATTCCTCTGTTTCTGACAAACAGAAGAAACAACTTAGGAT